CCCCAGGCTGGATGTACAGATGTCTATGAAAATATTCTACTTAACTACTAAAAATATTATTCAGCACTAAAATCTTTATCTTATGTCTTATGTTATCTTGTTTGCTATTTGAAAAAGCCAGTATAAAGGAAACATAATGGTGAAAAAAAACTATTCTGGGTTTAAGCAATCACATTTCTCATATAAATTCTTAAAGTAGTATTTAGGTCTGGGCGTTTTTTACCCTAATGCATTCTCTGCATTAGGGTAAAAACGGCCCAGCACCTTTTTTCTACCCCAGTCCCCCCCCCCCACACTTACCTGTCAGCTGCGCTCGTCCCCGCCGCCGGTGCCGAAGCGATCCTCCGAACGTCTGAGTTGCGGGGGGAGGATACTGATGGCAGAGGAGCCATAGGACATCAATCAAAGAGGGAAGGGATGTGCCACAGGGCTGTGTGTTTCTATGGACGCACACAGCCACTGCGGGCACAAGCGCGCACGGGTGCCCCCATTAGAACGATGGTGACAGGGGGCGAGGGGAAGAGAGCTGCGGGGACCCACTAGAAAATGAGGAATTAAAAACTTTTAAAGAAAAAAAGCAACAGCCTCCAGCAAAGGAGGGTCTCCTTACATTACAAATTTTAAAAAAATAGGCTTTAATATCACCTTATTGGTCCACATAATTGGGGGAGTGGCAGTGGTGTTTCCATTGCCTCAATACACTGCTAGATAATGTCCCTTTTCTTCATCTGAGAAAGTTGGAAGGTATGCTAATATTGAACTGTTTTTCTCCAGCATATAAATATATAAAATGCAATGCATCTTATCAATTATATCAGTGTACAATTGCAGGGCTATTCACAAAAGGTTGAAGAGTTTGGAGAAGGCAGGAGAAGTAAACAATCTAGGCCAAAATAGTTGATTTGGAGAAATTCTCCAATTCATCTCACTTTCCAGTTCAGCTATATTGTCCTAGATTGTTCACTTCTCCAAACTCTTCACCAATTTGTGAATAACCCTGTTAAAGTATAAAAAAAATAATAAAGTCACCGGCACTCCAAATGATCAAGTCAATACGTTTATTGACCCAAGTGATAACACCTCTAGCAACGTTTCGGGACCCTGCGGCCCCTTCCTCAGGCAAACACTCTCTGTATGCCTGAGGAAGGGGCCGCATGGTCCCAAAACGTTGCTAGAGGTGTAAGGAGGAATAATGAAGTACATTAAAAAAAATTGAATTTTTTGCCACAATAAAACACACTTACAATAGAGCCAGAATTAAAGTGCCTTGCAGCAAACAATCAATCGGTTCCACCTAAGCAAACCGGAACCAGAAATCCACCTGCTAGTCACCTGTGATATAACCTCGGTATCCTTTCTGATGCATTTTGTCCCTTGACTTACATAGTTACATAGTTACATAGTATTTGAGGTTGAATAAAGACATTAGTCCATCAAGTCCAACCTATTAGGATCTCATTCTAGGAGTACCTGTACCCCTGTAAACTTGTAGACTTTTTACAGGAAAGGTTCACATACTAAGGTATGGCTAAGGCTTCCTTATATAGCCCAAGGGTGAATCATATAATTACTGATTACCTCCAGAGGCCACTAGTAGACTTCACATGTTAGCAGTGCAGGCAGTGGATTGCCAAAAGGTATAACAACAGTTAAAACTCCTTAGAATTAAAATTAATTGTAATCTGATAATAAAAAAATCTAAACAATCTTGCTTGCCTCGCCCTTGCTACGGCCCTGGCTCTGACCAAGTCATCTAGCCATCACAATGTGGCCCTTCAAAGTCGCTGAAATCCTTATGCTTGCCCATTTTTTCTGCTTCCCACACATTAACTTCAGGGACAAAATGTTCACTTGCTGCCTAACATATCCCACCCACTTCCAGGTGTCACTGTAACAAGATAATCACTTGACCTCTCAGTGGTCACAATGTTATGGCTGATCGGTGTATACTAAATCCCAATATTTAGCTCTTTAATCCCAAAATGAAAAAAGCCATAGATTGCCAGCTTCAGTAAAAATAAAGATCATTGAAGTGCCTCAGGGTACTGGTAATGCGCTCTCTCATTTTTCATGATGGAAATCCTTTTAAAGAAGACTATCAGTCAAAATGCCATTTTGCTGGAAATATAACTTTACCATATAGTATTACCATCATTCTTCATTCATAACAAAACCATTGATTTAAATTAACGATAGCTAATTTCAACATACTTATTTCCATGGCGAGGTCAGTATCCCAATATGTCATGGTTAGTTAGATAACTAATTTCCTAACTAAAGTATAAAGTGGGTTTTATGTATATGTCTTAATACATTCCTTCTCTTATATGTGTAGATAGCCTCTGACAGAAACTTCCAGCTAGTATCACATTACTTTCTGACCCCCAACACTGTGATGAGAAAACAATTTACAGAATGGTTTTCATTTCAATAATGTCATGTGTGCTGGATCGTAAAAACCATCATCAATATGTATCAAATATACCCATCAACATGACACATGCCCCACTCATCGAGAGAGCAGGGAAGCATAGTTTACCACCAGATCAAAGGACTTTAGAGATAACCAAAATCGCTCCAGATTTAGAAAATCTACATGCTGACTGCAGGCCCAGGGTTAAGTTATTGTATGGAGTGATTGGTATCATGTGTCAGCAGATGGAGAATATACAGATCTGCAGAGTATAGCCTGGAAAAAATAGCTGGAATGTGTCTGTTGTGCTGATATAAAGAAAGAAGCAGAGAAAAGAACAGTGTCATAAAGGTAGAACAGAGAGACAGGAAATAGGATTGAGCCGAGTAAAGTTCAAAGCTGGAGAAGAGGAAGCCAAGGTGGAAGTGGGGCTGATCTCATGTTAGGAGGTATTGTATGCAGTACATATGGTCTTATTCTGTATGCCAGAAGGTATCGCTTAGCTAATCTCTTATCTTTGTTTGAATAGGCGGGCAGTAATCCTGTGTTATAATTGTTGGGATTAATAGTAACGTAGAGTTTTGTTACAATGCTGAATAAAGAACTGCACTGCCATTACCGGACTCGTTCAACATGTTCAACGGGTATTGTTTTTCACTTATCAAACAGATATAACAAAATGCTTTGAATGATATATTTACAAAACCAAAAAGGGAGCAAAGCAGTCCAATGCATTTTGACACAAACCCTTACTTTGGCTTTTAAACTCTAAATTGTCCCTAAACTATAGTTAAAAAAAAGTGCCAGTTGACCAAGATATATAAGCCAGCAACTCATGTTTCTTTGCCCTTAAAGGAGCTTTCTGCCTGTTGTTTTCATTACCCTAGTTTTTGTTATATCCACAAGCCTCGGTAGCATTGGTTCTGAACTTCTGATAAGCATGGATGTACAATTATAGACGAGCACTGCTTGCCTCATACTACATCTCCCAAGATTACTTGCCCCAGCATTCCGCAGTACACATGCATGCCCACTAATACCGCTGTCAGTCAGATAAGCCATTGGTGGAACATAAAAAAACACCAGGTTTTACTGCTAGAAGCACCAGCATGAAGCATTGTAGTACACATCGGAAATAGCCCAAGGTCGGTGACTACATTACACCTACAGCAAAACTACAAGGGGTTTGCCTAGCAAATAGGAAGCATGAGGCTTAGATCTTTAAAATTACTTTTTATTGATATAGAATCAAAGAAAGCTAATCACACACAATTAAATGAGTAATCAAAAGGTAAGAATCATTATATTTGTTTTTGTGATTTGGGTTTAGTGTTACAATAGGGCTACAAGAAAAGCAGATGATGCAATTTTTCTAATTACAACACTGAGATTGCTCACATGATGACTGTGAAAATAGACCCTGCCATTGACCAATTAGGAATTCACCTTAAGTGACTTGTTTTTGTCAACAAAATTAAAGTTTGACTTGTCATAATTGTCTGAATTTGTTGCAGAGCTCAGTTATTTATTGGGTATACTGATATTTTTTGTACACATTTTGTTTCCGCAGTACTGCACCAGCAGGGCAGAAGCACGGAGAGATGCAGCTAAAGTGGCTTTAATCAACTCCCTCTACAATGAATTACCTACCAGGAGGATTACACAGGAGTTTATCACAAAAAGTGTCCAAGAAGCAGTGGCCTCCACCAGTGTAAGTCTAATGCTTGTGGCACTGACTGGCTATTGGAACCTACAAGTCAATGACAAACACAAGGTCAAGATATAGGGGTCTATTCACTAAGCTGCCGAGGGCAGCCGAGTGAATGACCGATCTGAAGTGAAGTGAGCCGAACACTGTTCGGCTATTCACTTCAGGCTGGTACGGCTAATTTCAGCCGTACATCGGCTGAAATCAGCCGTACATCGGCTTGCTTCGTGTGGCTTCGGATCAGCCGAACATGCTCAGCATGTTCGGCTGACCCGAAGTGCAGAAGGAGTTCGACTCAGCCGATCCAACATCTGGATCGGCTGAGCCGAACCTCCGGCAGGCTTCACACTGCTGTTCGGGCTATTCTGAAAGATCCCGAACAGCAGTGAGAGAATAGCCGAATGCCGCTGAGCGGCATTTGGCTCGGCTGTTCTGCTCGGTCCCTCAGAGGCACCGAGCAGAACAGAAAAAGAGTGAAAAAAGTAAATAGAAAACGATTGTGCGGAGCTAGCAGTGACAGCTAGCTCCGCCCAATAGTTTCCTATTGTCCGGCGGCTCTGCTGCTGTAAAAAAAAAAACTCTCCCGGGAGCTCTGGGAGCCTCCCGCTCCCGGCCGCCCAGGAGAGAAACACTGCTGTGTCTTTTTTTTTCTTTATTCTGACACGAGTGATGTCAGAATAAAAAAAAAAAAAAAGATGGTTCATCTTTTCGTGCAGACATTGCTGTACTCTACTTGGCAATCCCATTCAATTTTGTCTGTAATCTGGTGATCCCAGAACAGACCTGCTGGTCGTACTAGAACACCGCCTTGCACACTTAGAAAACCTCATGCAGAATAATACCACACCAACACTTTTCTATTCAATTCCAACCTGCTTTGGAACCTTGAATGTGATTGGTGTTTCAGGAACTAGAAAGAGAAGTCACAGAGCACAGGCTTTAGAAAGTACATTCCTAGTGATTCGCTATGTAGCTCCGTGTGTGCAGAGGATCACACAGAGCTCATATTAAAGAAGAACTCCAGGAAAACATTATTCTTAACCCTTGCAGTGAGGATACCCCTGCACTGCAAGGGTTAAGTCCTTGTTTTTGTTTAGGGTGTAAAACAAAAAGGTTATACTCACCAGAACCTCATAGATGACTGGCTTCTAGACCACTCCATCCAGCCTGTCGCAGCGATGGTATGTCCCATGGCATTCTCACCTCCTATACACAGTGTATTGGACTTGATGACTCTGGAGTGGAGAGGGAGAGAGGCTGGAAGGACCAGTCTAACAGCCAGCCGGCTCAGAGATTCAGGTGGTTATAAAAAAAAAATAGTTTACACCCTAGACAAAAAGGAGCACTTAATCCTTGCAGTGTGGGGAAGCCCCACTGCAAGGGTATAACAATACTTAGTGAACTCTCTGACCTTAGCACAGTTAGTGCATTTGCTGGATAGTATTAGTAGCTAGCTAGGTGAATGTCTCTAGTTGCTGTCTCGAACCACTCTTTGAAAAAGAACCCTAAACACTGATTATTCTGGTTGTCTGGTTTAAGAGATCAGTTAACAGTTTAGCAACTTGGGCAACTGAAACAGTATAGTTAATGTTATACTTAGAGATCTAATCAACACATTTTTATATCCAATTTTCTTAATTTTTCCCACACCGCGTCCTATACAATTTGCATGTGTTAAAGTTACCTCTCCATTGATTAAGACAGGCATAATCAATGAAGGGGGCTTAGTGCTATTCACTAAGTTCAGTAACCCATATCAACAATCACAGCTCACTGAAGTGAGACCAGGGGAAGATGGAGGTGGATTCGTTGCGATAAGTTATTGCACCTAAACATTAAGTTGAATAGGTTCCATTTCTTCCATTCTGTGTTCACCACGAGTATTTGGGGTTGATTTACTAAAGGCAAATTGACTGTTAATTTTGCAAGGGCATTTGCACTTTGCAAGGGAATTTTCTCTTAGTTTAGTGAATGAGTTTAAATTTTACCTTGCAAAGAATACCCAATCATGTGCAAAGAAAATGTTAAAAAAAAAGTATTTTTGCTTGTATATGACTGGATGCTGGAAGTCAGCAGATCTTCACCTCAATTACAAAGCTGAGTGAAAATTCCCTTGCAAAGTGGATAGCCTATTTGCCTTTAGTATATCATCCCCATTGGCTGCTTTGCCCATTAAATTCCCTGCTGGCTGAAATGTAAAACTAGAAATAATAGCTAAGCCTAAATAGGAGATTGCATGTAATCATTTTCAATATGTATTGTATAACTGAGGCTTTGCTGTTCTGTAGCCAATTTGAAAAACAAACATTACTTTTGAGAATGTTTGTAGTTTCAAAGAACATATAATTTGGTCATCAGAGAGTTGTGAATGTACATTGTGAAACCTTCCCAAGCATCCTTAACCTAACCATTAGCCAAGGTTAGGCTTAGTGTCCATGAGAGTTAGACTCAGAAGACAGTCAAATGCAATGACGAGAAAGCACGTTTTTAGGTACTTTCTCAAAAAAAATGTATTGCTTTTGAGATGTGTATATGATGCATTTTTGAATGATTGATAATGTGTTTGTCTTTTGTATAACATTTATTAACTGTGCATTCCCGCTGACTTGTTTAGAGGAATAAAATAAATTCCAATGCAGCAGAAATAAGACATGCAACTTAACAAAAAAGTTAACACTTAAAGTGAGCTTAAGGTGTATCTCAACATTTGCAGCCAAATTTAAGAAACGCCCTACTACATGTTTGTTACATGTTCCTATTCACACAGCATACCTAGAAATATTTTTGAAGTGTCTGTGTAGCCGCCTTTGGGGCTTCACGCTACAGATTCAAAGTGACAACTCTGTCTGTCCACATAGAAAGAATAGGGACAGTCTGGGATTCCTATTATTAACATAAATCCTTTGTTCAGAGAGACAGTGTTCAAATCTATCAGACAAAAAAAGTTTTATTTAGCTCTTGGCGCTAATGGCTGCCAGCTGAACAATCCACTTGCTGTTGCACACTCAAAGTTTTCAACAGTTTATCACAGTTTTTTTACACAGACTTGAGGGGCTGCTCATCCAAGGCTCTGGGGCTTCCACCACGAACATAGAAAACAAAAGGGAACAGAGCGCCACCTCCGTGTGTAAAATCGTTTATTACAATAAATAAAACAAGGGATAAAAGTACTCACAAACAAATGTTTTCATCAGGCTTTAACAACAAACAAGAGGCCACACTGTCACTGTCAATCTAGTTTAGTGATATTGAGATCTGAAAGCACAGCAAAGACAGGGTTAATTAAGTAGGGTATACACAGGTAGATTTTAACACGAACATTCCTACGACAAATCCATTCTGAACATTCGATAATGCCATCAGAGGCTTGACAATTGTTGTTCGAAATTTCCTTTGATTTTCATTTTTGTTTAACATCTGATTGTGGAAAGAATTAAAGTTTGCTTTATGAATGAGAACATGTAACAAATTTAAAGTAGGTGTTATCCAAATTTGGCTGCAAAACTGGAAATACACTTTAAAACATTAAAAAGCAACACTCATTTCTATACTCGCCCTATCTCCAGCATTGTCTACACAGACTAATTCCTCTGCCATCCAGCGCTGGTCTTCTTCCAGGTTAAATGACACCTAGTGTGATCAATTTCACTTCCCGCTTGCCCAACAAGCCACCACGGACTAACAGAAGAATGCTGCAGAGAGCATGTCATTAAAGGAGAACTATGAGGTGAGTGCTTTTCACTCACCTCATAGTTCTAGCTGACCTGTGACAATGAGACTGTCACAGGTCGGCTCAGTAGATCGGGAGGTGAGCGAACACATACCAGCGTTCGCTCACTTCTCGATCCTGTCACAGCTCTCTGCCGTGACAGGGGAGTGGCTGGATTCCCCCCTCCCCAATCCTCCAGCGATGACTGGCGGAACGGATGGGGGGAGAGGGCGGGTACAGGTGGCTCTGCCTCTAGATAGGCAGAGCCAGCTGTCACTCACGTAGCTGGGCGGATTAAGACATAATTGTCGAGATCCGCTTCAGCTGCGGCGTCTCAGTATACCTCGAGCTGTAGCTCGCGGTATACTGAGCTTAGGGTGATGGGAGGATGCTAGTTTGTGTACTCCCGTTACCCTAAGGAGAACTATGGGGAAAAGCCCTAATCTCATAGTTCTCCTTTTAAGTGGCACTGTTTTCTGCAGCATTTAGGACCTGCCACTGCCAAAGGAGGAAACTGACCCATGACATCTAGTGGCGTATAGAGGATATGGAACATAGGGCACATGCCCTGGGTGCGACTTGAAAGGAGGTGCTGCCATGTGGGTAAGCAAAAGTTTGCTGACCCACATAGACAGTTGACTCTTTGTTTCTCCCCACCCCTCTCCCATACACTTCTCTCCGCCCGGCTCTTAGCAACGAGGTACTCTCTGGCCAGCGTCCCGCCCAGCTCCTGGCAATCAGTGATGTCACTGGTTGTCAGGAGCTGGGTGGGACACCAGAAAGAGCGTCCCAAGTTGCTAAGAGCCAGGAGGGCCATACACATCTCCCTGTCTGGCTCTTAGCAACCAGAGCGGATGGAGAGATGTGTATGCGGGTGGGACGCTGGCCAAAGCATCCCAGGTTGCTAAAAGCCTGATGGGGAGATGTGTATGGGAGAGGGGTGGGGAGAAACAAACAGCTGGGTGCCCATAAGCCAAAAATGCACAAGTGTAAATGGGGTTTACAAGTTTCACATTACATGATGTAATAGTAACTAGGCATGTGAATTTTTTACTTGAACTCCTCCACAAGGCTTCCAAATTGTATTGTTTTCTCTCACATGTTAGTCATTAGGAAGAAAAGTTACTCAGCATCTTATAATCTCTGATACAGTTATACAGAATGAAGACAAAATCATGCCACTAAAGCTTTCGTGTTCTACTCCAAAACATCTAAATCATCCCTACGCCTCAAGAAGGATCTTGCTTAATAAGTGCCATGACCTCAAGTCCCCATTGTATTTGTATTTTCCTTT